TTATCTTTCATATCAGATTTCATTTCTCTTACAAGTATATTTAATATCTAGTATAATTTTTTTAAACAAAATAAAATATAGATTAACAACTTTATATATTAGTGATGTGTACAGAATAGGTGTTGTCAAGCTGGCGAAAGTGGTCGTATTAAATTGTATCCACTGTTTACTGGACTTCAGATGGAGATGACATCATGGAGAATATGACGTCATTAGATGCAAGTTGACGTAAACTCAAAAAGAAGAGATTACATATACAGTAAGTGGTGGGTGAATTTACTGTTACTGGTTATGTGTTTTTATGCTATGTGTATTTCCTTTGCCGCTCTCTCAACAGTTTAAAGTTCGATATTTTAGGTAAAAAAAATATCCAAACTGAAAATTTGAAGCTCATAAATAACATGCCTGACGTTGTACACTCCTCCATACAAATGTTTGCCGATGACGCCAAGTTATTTCGGGAAATTAAGAACCAAGCGGACTGTGAAGAACTGCAGGAGGACCTCTGTGGGCTCCAGGAATGGTCGAAGAAATGGCTGCTGAGATTCAATGTCACGAAGTGTAAGAGATGCACCTGGGGCGTACCAACGGTAAGGAGGCGAATCATATGTCCCAACGGGATGGAGAAACTGCACTAGTTGAGACTGTGTGTGAGAAGGACCTAGGTGTGTATGTTGACAATGAGCTGAAGTTCTCGGGCCATTGCGAGAAGAAGGTAAATCAGGCAAATAAAGTATTGGGTCTTATAAGAAGGTCGTTCAGATATCTAGACGGTCCGTCCCTCGTGACGATCTTCAGGAGAGAAGTACTCCCCCATCTGGAGCACTGTCACCCCATCTGGTCCCCGAGATATGTTAGGGACTGTCAGTTGGTTGAAAATGTTCAAAGGAGGGCCACCAGACTGGTGCCTGCACTTCGGCACCTCAGCTACCCTGAGAGATTGGAGCGCCTGAACTTGCCTAGCTTATATTACAGACGGGCAAGGGGGGACCTAGTTGAGGTGTATAAGCATCTCAGGGGGCACTACTCAGTTGAGTGTCCTTACTTGGAGCTGGCGGACGCTCGCCCCACAAGGGGTCACAGCTCAAGATTGAAGAAGCCGCAAGTCCAGAAAACCGTGAGGGCAAACTTTTTCGGAGTGAGGGTTGTAAACTCTTGGAACAATCTACCAGAGAGTGTTGTAACGGCACTGAGTGTGAGCTCTTTCAAGACAATACTCGACCAACACTGGAGCAGGTTCAGGTACATTCAGGAGCCGGTGCATGCTCAGTATTTGCCAACAGTGCGTGACAGAGACGTGACCGATCGCCCGGGCGGCTAGCGTGCCGATCTTTTGGTGAAGAAGATAAATGAAAAGAGACGTGACCGATCGCCCGGGCGGCTAGCGAGCCGATCTTTTGGTGAAGAAGATAAATGAAAAGAGACGTGACCGATCGCCCGGGCGGCTAGCGTGCCGATCTTTTGGTGAAGAAGATAAATGAAAAGAGACGTGACCGATCGCCCGGGCGGCTAGCGTGCCGATCTTTTGGTGAAGAAGATAAATGAAAAGGAAAAGTAATCAGAGATGTGACCGATCACCCAAGCGGCTAACAAGCCGATCAGTGGCGAAGAGGCTAAAAGCAAAAGCAAAAAAGATGTATTAGTCGAGAGTACTTTTATATATCAGAAAAACCTTATTGCTCTTCTCAAAGTAGTGCATTAATTACACAAATATTAACAAACACGTGCTGATGGTACAGTGGTAACTCGCGTATCTTTCATTAATATGTCAAGGGTTCAAGCCCAGACACATGCGAAGGTGTTATCCAGTGACTCCGTAAACATAACAGGTTTCTCTGCCTACATACATAAGAACACAAGAAAATAAGGAGTCTGCAATAGGCTGGTTGGCCTGTGCATGGCAGCTCCTGTCGAGAGTTACTACCACTCTATCATCCATGAATCTATCCAGCCTCCCTTTGAAACTTTCCAGCGTTCCAGCACTTACTACAAAGTTGCTAATCTTGTTCCACTCGTCCACCACCCTATTTGTAAACCAGTTCCTTCCTATCTCCCTCCTAAACCTAAACTTATCCAACTTGAATCCGTTGTTCCGAGTCCTATTCTGCTCGGATATTATAAGAACTTTATCTATATCCCCTTTATTGATTCCTTTCACCCACTTAAATACTTCTATCATATCTCCCCGCACTCTTCGTCTTTCTAGGGAATGCAAGTTAAGTTTCTTTAGCCTATCCTGATATGGAAGGTTTCTAAGTCCCGGAATCATTTTTGTCATTCTTCGCTGCACCGACTCTAGTGAATTTATATCCATTCTATAATAGGGGCACCAGAACTGAACCGCATAATCGAGGTGTGGCCTGACTAGCGCAAGATATAGTTGCAATAAGACCTCTGCACTCTTGTTACTTACACTTCTAGATATAAAACCCAATACTGTACTCTGTTTGCCTTATTTCGAACATTAACGCACTGTTTTCTAGGCCGTAGGTCCGGGCTTACAAGTACCCCTAGGTCTCTTTCACAAGTCGACTTCTCTAGGTTGATGTTGTTAAGGCTGTATATATTATAAGTATTTGTTCTTCCAATATTAAGTACGCTGCACTTGCTGGTGTTGAATTTCATTTGCCATTTTTCAGATCCACCCCTGCAGTTTATTTAGATCCTCCTGTAATGCATTTGCATCCTGCCCTGAATTAATTTGCCGCCCTATTTTGGTGTCATCCGCAAACTTGAGTATCTAGATCGTTTATGTAGATTATGAACAAGAGTGGGCCTAGTACTGACCCCTGGGGAACCCCACTGGTTACACGGCCCCACTCAGATTTAACACCATCTACGCTGACCCTCTGCGTTCTATCGGTGTTCAGGGCGGTGGGAAGGCTGGCGTGGGGCAGTAGCCTTGAATGCAGAAACCGCCTGACGTAGTGTTTGTAGTAGGTCGTGACGGGCAGCAGGAGTGAAGTGGTCAAGGTCAGAAGTAAGGCGTGTGATGTGCTGCTTGATAGTGGCGGAGGTTATGGCGCCTACCAGTCTCCGTCGATGTCGCTTCCCCGTGTGGTTGCAGGGGGCCTCACAGCATCTAGCACTAGCACCAAAACGTTGATGGTACCAACAGGGGGTAGATACACTGTGCTGGGGGCGGCGTCTGAGGCAGGACGGGTGTGTTGGGGTCGGTAGGATGTGGTGCGTGAGTTAGGACCAGGTCCAGCAGCAGGCATGGAGGAGCAGAACTGTTCAATGGTGTCCATCCTGCGGTTCAAAGTTTGTAACAGGTCCCTGATGTCTTGTGAGGTATTGCTCGGCTGAGGGGTGTTGACCCGGCTTACAAGTTCGGAGGTAGGTACTGGTGTGATCGTTGGGTTGTCCGCGGCAGCCAGGCACGCAGCCGCGCACTCGTTGAATATTGTCTGCCGCGGTTGCGTCGAGTTCAGGTGTCGTCGAGTAATCTACTGCGGACAGGATAATACGTACTTGTGTGGGGAGCTTTTGTGCGTGAAGCTGGCGCAGGATAGGGTCGGGAAGTCTGTCTGCGTGCCGGGAGTTCAGCCTACACATCTCCTCCCAGAGAAGTCCCGGAGTTGAGTTTCCAAGGGAGATAGAAGATAGGTTCTGCAGGAGACTGGGGCGGGTCCGTTGGCAATGCGTTTTTAAGGCGTCCAGCAGGGTGGCGAATTTGTTGTTCTCTGGAGGGTTGGAAATAGTCCGTGATACATGCGTGGCGACTTCCGTGGGCAAGGAAGAGAGCAGGGCGCCGTACTTTTGCTCGTCAGTAGCTTGAGAGACGATGAGGATTGCTTCCACATGATCTAACCAGTCCTCGACGTTGTGGTTAAAAGTCGGTAGAAAGATCCGTCCGTCCATTCTTGCAGAAGTGTGTCACACGGTCGTGAGATGGTGTCGTAGTGGGGTAGCACGTGGTGTGGGTAAGGCGGTTGGCCTAGGCTGGCAGCAGGCAGGACGATCTTCTCAGCTCCAGGAGTAAGGCAGCAGAAAGGAGTGTGGTGTTCACTGCTCCAGGGGTCACCAATTGTAGGTTTACATGAGATGTTTCTCCTCCATCCTGTGTGAGTGCGAATCTCCGGGGGTCACCATTTGTGGGGTACGTGATATTTGGTTCACACTCAGGATGGGATGGAGAAAGGAAACTCACAATGTGCTCTCTGTATACATATTATATTGGATGTACAATGCAGCTTGGTGGCTGGTGCTGGGAGGAGGCAGCGTGGTTACAAGCGTGAGTAGGGATAGCTGGTTGGTGAGGGTGCTCAGAGGAGGTGTTGCTTGCTGCGGCTGTAGCTAGAGAAGGGGCAGGTCACGGCCAGGTGTGGTCTTATATAGCGGGGGTAGGCGTGGCTTGATGGTAGACCCCGCTTTGTTCGGCGTCGCTGGTTACCTGACCTTGACCACGAGGGATACGCTGGTAGATTCGCGGGGGTCGGCCAGTCAGCGACACACGGCGTTTGTAGGGGAGGAATCCACTACAGGGTCTTAGGACTCTTCAGACAAGGCATAACCAGGCAGATCTCATTGAAACCTCCAAATTCCTGAAAAGGGTGGAAAACGTGAACCCGAGACTTTTTTATGAAGTTACTACTCTCCACTAGCACGAGTGAACTTAACTAAAAGTTCGCCAAATTGTCATTCAGAGCGTATATAAGGTATCATTTTTTTTCACACAAAGAGCGGTAGACCTATGGAATGACCTACCAGCCTAAGTTGTGGAATCATGAACAGTACTGGGCTTCAAAATAACCGTTGACAAACTTATCAAGAACAATAAAGGGGTCTTACTCAGGCCACTGGCCTCCATCGCGCGGCATGATCACCTTTAGGGGTGGGTCATTAGGTAAATAAGGTAAATAGCACTGGATAGACAAACCGCCTGAACCGTTAATAAGTTGATAAGAGACAAAATAAAAATAAATCGCATCACTTCAAAGTTCCATCATCCACGAAACATGCCAGCTCCAGCCAATGCTCAGGAAAAAGTGAAGGAAGGGCGTGAGGCGGCCAGAGTAATCCATGTTATACTACACGCTGTCAACAACGCAACATTCAACAGCATCTGGTCGTGCTACCAAATTTACACCAGCATGTCAGTGGAAGAACTTAAACAGAGAATAAAAGAGTTAGAGGAGGAGCTAAGGAAAGTGAAAAATGAAGGTTCGGCTCCACGGGAAAAGATCGCCGAGATGTCTAGCGAAGTGGTTGACACCAACCCTTATAGGTGAAATATGCTGGCGGGCAACTGCTAGTGGTTAATTCTCTTGCATTTGTTCCCAGACTTGCCTTAAGCCTGTGTGAGATCCCTCCATTGTTCTTGATAGTTTTGTCAAGGGCTAGGTTAATAATGACTGACCTGCCGACGAGCTATTTGTTAAGGTGTTTGTTTTCTTATTCTATTTTCATCAGTGAATTCTGGTATGATAATCATTTCTTGTGCCAATGCTTCGTTTGGTAAATGTTTAGGCACCTAAGGTGCTCACTAATTTGTCTTCCCGGCGGTAATGTGGCGGTTTTATGTTAAGGTGAGGATAGGATGGGTTGGGTTGGGTTTTAAAAAAAAATGCAGACTAACTGTGACAGTGTCATCTATAAAACTGGTATATGTTTAGGTTAGGTTAAGGCTGAAATTAGAATTAGGTTAAGGTTAGGTTAGGCTAGGTTAGGTTGGGTTGGGCTGAGCTGAGCTGAGCTGGGCGTTTAAAAAAATGCACAAACTACAACAGTGTCTTCTATAGAACACAATGAAATTGCAGCATTTTTTATAATCATTTACTATGCTATATCGCCGGCTATTTTGAACCGACTACTTTTTCAACTCCAGAGCTTTAGCTGATAGACCATTCCATAGGTCTACCACTGTCTCTGTGAAGAAGTATTTCCGGTAATGTCTGAGAACAGCACTACCACCAAAAGGAGTTGTTTGATTTCGTTCATTTATTTCCACACATGTTCTTATCATTATAGTACCAAATAGAACCTGACCAAACCAATCAAAGAAACCTACCTAACCTTATCTAACTTCCTAGATAGGGGCTGTGCCCCCCGGACTCCCCACCATATTAAACAGAAGGTACAGTAATTACTGAGAATAGCACTGCCACCAGAAGGAGTAGTTTGATTTCATTAATTTTTTCCATAGATGTTCTTATCATTATAGCAAGTATTTTAAAAGAAGCAAAATTTTTTATTTTGGAAAATATTGATGACTACACTGCTGACGTGTTATTTGGGTAATTATATAGGAGTAACCCGCGAGCGATGTTGATTGAAAACACTTATAAAAACCTCGGATTTTCATTGTTGTATTGTAGTGGACACACTTGTAGTTTGTGGAAATATGTTAAAAATTTATATTTAAAAAATATACTCTACTTAACATTTGTGGATTCGAAGAACAGACCTAACCAACCAAACCAAACAAACCTACCTAACCTTACCTAACATCCCTGGTATATTAAACAGCAAGAACTTATTATGAGATGGTGAAATTTGAGGCACTTTTTGGACCTGAGATACGGCTGCATCAGCGCTATGCAGGTCTAGCGGGTTAGTCCTATATATATCAACCGTTATTTGTTATGATGTTTATATCCTTACTATATTTTCATCAGTGAGTTCTGGTATAATTTTTTTGTTTGCTATTTTCTTTTATTTTATTTTATGGTTAGGTTAAGTTCAACTTTTAAGTAAACACTTTTTAAAATATTTCCCATAACTACGAGTTTGTCCACTATAAAACAGTGAAATTGCAGCGATTTTAAATTAATTTTCTGTGAAAATTCAGGGGTGGTGTAGTCTCCGATAATTACAATAGGCAACAAATTAAAAAAAAAAACTTCCATAACATGGTTCAGAGCAGCTTCCTTTTGGTAATTTTGAGGTGCTGATTTCAAATCTGGCAATAAAAACTCTGGCACATACAGTTTATTTGTTATACCCAAAAATTAAATCTTACAAATATAAAAAGTGAAAATTACTATTTTTCCTGTTATTTCTGTTACTTTTTCCACGTCATCTCACTAAAATTCAATAAAAATGAAAACAATCATAAGAAGACACAAAAGGTATTAAATTAGCCACTGTATGGGCATTTGTTATTTTATTTCATCCTATATGTGTTGTATTGTCCTCCAATTGTAAAAGCCAGCAAGTCCCCCATCATGGCAGGATCCCATCTTCCCTGGTACCTTTCCTCCATATGTCTAATGTCCTGATGAAATCACTAACCGCTCACAGATTTTCAGGAAAAAAGTCCAAGTGCGAGTGTAGGGGGTAGACTTTCTGGGACATCCTGCATCCTAAGTTTTTGTATTTTTTTAAGAGTTTTCTTCCTTCTTGTTTCCAAGAAACTCTTGACTACAGATGTGAAGCATTTCCATGCAGCTAGCTCATTTTCATTCTTTTTTTTTTTCAAAGTCATCATCACAAAGTAACTGAGCTGTGGGAATTTTCCCCTCAAGTATACAAACCCATCACCTTGTTTGTCTATAGCCTTCACAAAATTTTTCATTAGTCTCAGCTTGATGTGTAAAGGAGGTAGAAGTACATCGCTTGGGTCTACCAGGGGAGTATATTTAACGTTGCTCTGTTTTGGAACAAACTCTTCTCTCTTTGGCCAGTCCTTTGTGTTGAAGTGTTTTTCTGTTGCTCTGCTGTCCCATAAACACAAAAAACAAATATATTTAGTGAACCCTACTTGAAGGCCGGGTAGAAAGGCTATAGCCTTCAAATCGCCGCAGATCTGCCATCTATACTTCTTGTATTTAATAGCGGTCAGTATTTTCTCCATATTATTATACGTTTCCTTCAAACCTACAGAATGCGTTTCTGGAACCGAGGGCTTCTGGTTCCCATTATGCAACAATACTGCTTTAAAACTAAACTCTAAGGAATCTATGAAAAGCCGCCATTCCTTTGGGTCATGTTTTTCTCCCAACTCTGACATCAGTCCATCTACATCAGTACATGCACAGAGGGAATCCTGCATACTGTAGAATGAAGACAATGTAATATTTCTTTTCCTAAAAACAGAAATACTTGTCTGTTTCGCTAGCAAGTTCCATTCCTGCAGTCTTGATACTAAAACTTCCACCTGCTGTTTTGACAGACGGAGATCACCTACAAGATCATTAATTTCACTTTGTTCTATTATTTTTGATTCATTGGAAGTCTGGTCAATGAAAGGAGGATATGGGATGATTCTGGGATTTCTTCCTCAATTTCCTCATCCGAAGTTGAGAGCTCTTCCAAATTAGCCGGTGATGTAGGTATAGGGAGGTCTTCTCTGTGAGGAATGGCCTTATTGCCGAAGGTACATTTGCATACTCAATTTGGTGAATTAACACAGCCTCGGCATTGTATTCTCTCCATTCTCCTGTTTAGTATTGCTAACCTTGCATTTAATATATTCCTGCCAACACAAGTACGTATCTTATATTCCTACACTACATATACACGTACAGTATGTCATAAAAATGTTATGGGACTCATTTTTTATTGCCATATTTTAAATCAGCACCCCAAAATTAATAAAGTGCAGCATATTTGATCCATGTTACCGAACCCTTGTCATCTAGTGTTACCTTTATGTTTAATGGATGAGTTGGCAGTCGGAATATTTTCAAAAGATGGCAGGTCAATGGGTAAATAAAAAGCTTAAATTCACTATGGCAATTATATTTTTTAATAAATTGGGCCAAAAAGTGTCAAAAATAAGGGTTAAAGTTGCTAAAAAGTCACGTGACTCCAAAAAGTTCTGTAATTGGTTGTGACGTCACTGGCTGGGGTGAGCTACAGAGCGGGAGGCAGCCAGCTGTAGTTTTCCAACCTTCTCGGCTGATCGGCTCTGTAAATAAATATTCTTAGATATTTAATTGTGCTTTACTGTGCAACACAGTAATACTATTTTGAATACATAAATACCTGTATTACAAAGCACATAAGCTAATTCTATGGATATTAGCTGCCCATACAACAACTTTCATAGTATAAACATTCCAAACAATATTCAATTCAATTTCAACATTTATTCCTTGATAGAGGAAGTGGGGTCCTAGTGCTGTCACTAGGTACCCCTGTGCAATAACACCAGAAGCATCTGGCAAGTGTCACAAGTATATATAAATATTATAAAGGTGCTTACTAAAGCGTAAGGAAGGAAGAAAGGATGGATATTCTTTTAACACATCATCATTATAAACAATAATTGGTATTTTTTTGGTTTTGGTGACCTGGGGAACCTTAAGATTCTAACTACTGTATGTGATTAAGTACTTTAAACAATAAGACACACTCTCTACAGGATTTCTTTCGCAAAACATTTTTCAACCGCATAAGAAAATACAGATCGTATGTTAGGTTAGGTTAGGGTATGATGAGTTATAAGGTTAGCTTAACATACTTCGGTAAGGGGGGGGTATTAACTTAAAACTAGTGATTTCCGATAGATATGAAAGTCTAAATGTTTCATAACACATTGCAACCCATCAGAAAAAACAAAGATAGTCTGCATGTCTACGTACAGGGATGACCAAAACTTAAAATTTACCTAATACTGTATAGCCTATCTCGAATCTAAACATCCAAATACTCATGGTAGTTAAATGAAAATTTTACCCATTAATTAATATAAATGATGATATATCCCAGTGGTTCATTAGTGAATCATCAAAACAATAACAGCACTATGTTGTCATGCTTACCTAGCATCAGGCATTCTCAAAACAAAGTCCAGACAGTGTCATTACTTCTAAATTTACTTGTACAGGTATATCCATCTAGTACTGATATTCTCTGTAAATACACTGAAAAAGAAGAAGAGAAAGTCTATCAGGTAAGAGTACATGACAGCTGAACTGGAATGAACATGGGAGTTTTTTATGTCCAAAAGAACATAAGAATGGAGGAAACTGCAGTGGGCCTATTGGCCCATACTGGGCAATCCCATTTACACCCAACCTTTATCACTCATATATCCATCCAACCTATGTTTGAAGCTGCTCTTCAAGGCACATTTCTTCACTTACGAAATTTCTATGACTTAGACCATAAAAAACACCCTTAAACTTACCTGAACTTGGTTCTTGGGGTCTGAAGAGGCCATCCTTTCTACTACCTCCATCTTCAGTGGTGAGTTTGAAAGTAGTGAAGTCATCACAAATAGCGGCCCTGTTTCTAGAGAAATAAACTTATTTCAACTATTATAGCAGGACTTTAGATTTT